AGGGGGGGGGGGGGGGGGGGGGGGGGGGGGGAAGGACACGCCGATAGGTATCAGGCCGTTGTCAGTTGGAGTTGGAGGCACACCTTCGTGGGCCTCAGGGACAGTGCGCGATGAGCATTGTCACTAACTGAAAACACACGCGCGCCTCTTCATACAGAGAGTCGCGCACTTTGGCGAGTCACGGCGCACAGCCAACAGAACGAGCAGGAAGTGCAACCAAAGCGGTACAGTAAAAGCTGCTGGCCGAAAACCCAGTTGAAGCAGCAGGAGGACGAACCCCACGCCCCACGAACAAAACGACGACCTGCTCTCGAAACCGCACGCCGCGGTGTCCGTCCGCCCACACGCTTCCTTGCTCCGCCCCATACCTCACCTGGGTCAAGCTCTTCCGGGAGACGGCCAACCGGCACTTCTTCTGCACCTTGCCGTCGAGCACGCGCTGCGCCGAGAACACCCTCACGGCGCCCCCATTCTCCCTCTCCTCCTTGGCTATCCAGTCCCGGATTGAGACCACTCTCCCGGTCCCCGCTACGAGAACCACCTCGCCCTCCGATCTGCTGCCCCCCGCTGCCGCCGCCGTCCCCGTCCTGTGCGTCCTGCTGCTGCGGGACGGCCGGCGAGCCGGCGCCGCGGGGTCCGACAGAGGGACAGCAACGGCGACGGCGACGGGCATGGCGTCCGCGGTGGCCGCGGAGACGGTCGTGGCCGAGTATACAGCCGTGGCGAGCGGGGTCTCGGCAGTGCTTGCAGCCGCCGGCGCCGGCGCCGGCGCTCCGCTGCCAGCAGCAGCATCAGAAGAAGAGACCAAGCTCTCGCTTGCCCGTGGTTCCCCACTCGACGGCGCCCCGGTTGCTCCTGCAGCAGCAACGCCGGGGGCGGTAGGGCTCCGCGCCCTCGTCGCTTCGTCCGCAGCTCCGCCGCCGGGCGGCAAGTCGATCGGCCTGTCCGGCAGGGCGTCGTCCTTCACCCCGAGAATCTTGCCGAAGAAGTTCGCCAGCCGGTCCGGCGTGTCCCTCTTCCTGGCCGCCGGCTTCGTCCACGTCGCCGTCGCCGTCGCCTTCTTCGGCTTCCCTTCCGCCGCCGCCGATGCCTCGAGGACAGAGGAAGGCGCAGCCGCCGCCGCCGCCGCCGGCTCGCGGCCGGGAGCCTCCTGCCTCGCCTCTCGGGAGGAGCGGCCGGGGGAGAGGAGCCACGGCTGTTTTCGCGCTGCGCCAGCCAGCGACGACGACGACGCGGCATCGCCATCCGTGCGAGCGTTGTTGTTGTTGTCGAACCGGTCCATCACGCCCCCGAACAGGCGGCGCTTCGAAGACTTCCTCTCCGCGGCGGGGGAATGGTCTTGCGGCTTCGTCACCATGTAGAAGTCTTCCGTGTCCCTCCGACCCAAGCCTCCTCTCCCCCGCGATGGTGCTGCTGTAGCGTCCGCGTTTTTCTTAGCCAGCGATGCCGGATCATCGCCGTCAGCTGCCTGCGCACCCGAAAGGTTCGGGAAGAAAGGGGTCGCACTTTTCAGAACCTGCGAAAAAGACTAAAATTCTGTAATTTTTGCAGCCGTGTGCAATCAATCGCTATTCTGGCCTTGATGTCTTTCCCGCACATATCCGGCGAGCGGCACATATATGAGAGATGGCCTTGATTTATTTCCCGCACATATCCGGCGAGCAGCACATCTTTGAGAGCAGGAACAAAGGTAACAGTAGGCAGCTGAGAGGAATTGTTGGAGGTGCAAGCAAAAAACACGCACGTGCAACACATCATTCGTAGAGTGTCAAAACTAAATATCCCGACGCCAAGCTTCTCGCCCGCCACGGGCAACAACAGACCCACCCATGGAATCTCTCGCTACAGTAAACCGCTCAACAACTACCGCGTGTCCACGCCGATGGGTTTATTTCTCGAGGACTCACTAGTGGGGGGGAAGAGAGAAACGAGTGATGCATGGCGGCAGCACCACATGCGAAACCCCCACCCACCACTGTCGCCGACTTTCGCGCAACAACTGGCGGTAGCACTACGACGCCGTCCTGGAAAGAAACGCCAACACCGTGAGTAAGCGTTGCGGTAAATAACAGGGGGCGCTTTGATCGAGAGGGTCAGTAAAAAAGCCCCGAGACTTGCAGGAGAGGCCGCCGCCCTCGCCGCTCACCTTGCCACCCTTGCTCCCCGCGGTCGCGCTGCCGAGCCCTCCCCCCCTGGAGGCGTACAAGGCGGAGGCCCCCTTGTCATCCTTCTTGGACCACTTCGACAAGCCCGCGAACAGGCCTTTGGTCGTCTTCTCCGGGCTGATGTGCATCAGCTGTTCGCGCACCCTGGAGAATAACCGAAACAACACACGCCACGGGGGTCGCGGCAACAGCAAAAAGCACAAAGTTAATTCGTTCGTTTTTTCGGTCGTAGGCGTATTTCCGAGCCTCTCTTTTCGTGAACACGACAAAGGGCGTTGGAATCAGCCGGGGGGTTACATCTCACGGCGTGTCAGGGAGAACGGTGCCAAAAATCCCGCAAAGACTGTCACTGCGCCGGAGACCATCAGGGACGACACCGACAACCACAACAGTCGCAAATCAATCATTTTTTGGTCCCTCCGTAGCTCATGACACTTCATGCACACTCCAATAGCAACGAAAAAAAACTGGATCACCAGGTGCTACGCAGCTGGAAAGCCCTGGGTCTCAAGGGTGCAGACTCTGGCGTAGCACCTGTCTGAATCTGTTGCGTGCACAGGTAGTCACCTGTCTGAATCCGCGCCTATGAGTGCCCCGTGCAGCGTCTCGTGGAAGTCACCGTTATCGGCGTGCTGGCCCTCCTTCTCGGCGAGGGCCTGGCCACGGAGCGTCACCGTGATAGCGGGGACACCAGGCAGCAGGCATGACCACGTCAGGCGGGGCCAACACGAAGCTCCACTCACTCCAACGAGTCCGACTCATCCCCTTCGACTGTGGCAATATCTCGCACGGCTAGTATTTCTGTGTTGGTATACTTCCTAAAAACGCCCCGAGGGAAACGAAGACGTGCAACTTGGCAAAGGTATGCACAGTATCAACATGCAACTTGTCGATTCGCAACAGCACGTCCGGGGGACGATTCAACGGGTTTTGACGAGGGAAGAGAGGGCCAGTGAGAGGTCAACCCGCGACGGACGATTTTGGGGCGATGACGTCATCATCATTTCGGTGCGACTGTAGAAAAAAATATATGCATCAGAGAACAGATTTTTTCAACCCTAATACAGGTCGAGAAGCCTCCAGCCCAGCACGAGACAGGGACACCCACTCGTCGCTCGTTATCAGAGAGACCAGAGACCATGCTTGACGGCGCTAGGCTACGCTGTCCCCCCTCACCTGGGCACTCAGCTCCTCCAATATGGCCGCCATGTCGCCCCGCACGTGGCTGATGAAGGGGAAGTTGTACTGCAGCAGCATGAGCACCAGCCGCGTGACCTGCACGTCCTCCTCCCTCCCTATCTCCTCCTCCCCGTCCTTACTCGCAGCCGCCGCGTGCCCGTACCCACGCGACAACGCCCTCGAAAACCCTCCAAAGAACCCGCCCTCCTTGCTGTTGCTATCTCGACCGAACCCCCCCTCCGGCTTCGAAAACATGTCCCCGCTCCCCCCGCGATCGGCGAGGAAGCCGGTCTCGCCCACCAGGCCGGCTCGGCCGGGAGAGTCCGACTTGCTGTTCGACACCGTCCTCAGGCCCATGGCCTCCCCGCTAAGGTCCGACGAGGTGTTCTTCCTCTGCCCGACGGCCGCCATGTCGTCATCCCCGGCCCCAACCAGGCAGAAGTGCGCCACGCCCTGCGAAAAACGAATTTGGGACGACGACGTACAACGGCCAGGGTCGTCGTTAGTTTTACTGGAGGGGTATGTTCAAAGGGAGTTACCGCGAGTCCGGTACTGCTGCCGTGGTTTTTCGGATATAACCAAGACACACAGACCGACGCAACGGTGTTCCGGTGCCGTTACGGACGCGGCGCGCGCGCCCTGTTCGGTGGTGTTTAACAAAGGGGAAAAATGAGTCCACTGTCGCGGTCCGGTCAACACGCGCGCTCGTTGCTAAACCGCTTCATAGCACGCGCAACCAACACCTCTTCCTTCTTTCCCTCCTAACCCCCCCCCAGGTCAATGGTCTAACGACTACGGCATGCACGACTATGAGTACACCCCCCCCCCCTTCCCAAAGCAGGAAGGGACGATTGGCCGTCGGTGATCGGTGCTGTGGGAACAATACTCCGTCCTCTCGTGGTCAATAGCCTAACCGCCAAGCTCATGCAAAACACGAGTGCCCCCCCTCCCCCACCTGAAGGGGCATGAACTCCTTGAGCTTAGCGTCCAGCTTCTCGGGCGATGTGAGCAGGTCCGGGTCGAGGTGCAGCGCTGGCGCGAGGCGGCACGACTCGAACTCCCCCCGCGGCCGGCAGTCCAGGATGATGTACTGCCGGTGCACTCGGAGCGACCGCATTGCCGCCCGCTCCGCTCGCCTCTGCGGGCTCGGCGACGCTCTGCCAGGACCGCCGCCGCCCGTCCCCCCCCCGCCGTTTCTCGGAGACTTGAGGGAGTGGCTACCGTCGCCGCCGCCACCGCCGTTGCAGTCTCTACGGCCGGTGGCGGCGTCGCTAGCGGCCCCGCTGGCGCTGGCGATGGCATCGTCGAGAACGGACTCCTCGTCGCCGTCTGAATCTTGGTCTAGCTGCCGATGCGGGTTCTTGTGGAGAATGTAGCTCGTGATCTCCTCCGCCGACACCGGGATGCAGGAGGACACCTGGAGGGTGTTGAGGACCAGGTTCATCTGGCTCTGCAGCGGGGGCGGCAGAGGGGGGGTTTAGGATAGTGGGATGAGGTTTGGGAAGTAAGCATGTCAGTGAAAGAACAGCGCTGTTTCATGATGAATTTTACAGAGAGAGAGAGAGGCCACACGTGGTGAAACACACCAGGGTGATGGTATGGAAACGTACAGCAGTAGCACAAGACGTACCACATGTGGTGAACCACACCAGGGTGATGATACGGAAACGCAGCGCCACTACTACTACAAGGCTCGGCCTCAATACCTGACTGAGGTTCGCGTAGAGCGCAGACCGCAGGATCTTCCTGAACGACTTGGGGGTGTTGAGCATCAGGTCCTTCGCCGTGCGCATGAGCGCCCGCACCTCCTCGACGGACCGCATACCATCTGTCAGCCTGCACATTGTCTCCGGGAGGTTGGCCTCTTCCGCCTGTTGCCGAAATGTTTATCGAACGGAGCAGGTTGGTTCTGCATGATTGACCCACACGGCACACACAAAGTGTGCAATCCAACATCTGCAACACAAGCCAATCAACGGCGCTGTTGAGAGAGCGATTGGAATAGTAGCGTGAAAATAACCAGGTGCAGCAGTGGTAGGACCCGAGTGGCGACCGCCCGGTGTACCCGCCACGCGTAGCGCTGGGGTGCAGCACCGTACGTCGCGGGAGCAGACAGACGGTCATACGCTGGAAGTTCGACTCAACAAGCGTCACCTTCAAGATAGCCTCGGCGTTTCCGATTACGAAGGCCAGCACGACGAAGTGATGCAACGCCGGGTCTCCCCAGTACAGGTAGAAATCCCAAACCTGTTGCGGGGCAAGAGAGAGGATGCAGAAATAGGTGCAGAAATAGGTGCAGAAATAGGTGACCAAAGGAGGGTATATCTACCAAAACTAACCACTGCAAAAAGGGGTTCGCTTGTCTGAAACAGCCTTTGGTTGCACATGTGCAACCGTGACGAACGTCCCGCCATACCTCCGGCTAATAGCCAGCCTCGTACAGAGGTCAACATGGGTGCAGACATACCACAAGAGCCACCTTTGGGGAAACTCAACGGTTGCCTGACTTGAATTCACCTCGTAGAGCCTCGGGAGGTCCAAGCTATTCGAAAACAGGGTCATGAACCAAGGCGTCGCGTAAAGCTCCGGCTGCAGCTGGTACTGGTCCAGAAACCGGCACAGCCGGGGGTGGTGATACAGGAGCAGCAGGCGGAAAAGCCTGAAGCAGATCTGCCCTCGAAACACGCGAGGAACAAAAGGAAATACACCGCGGTTAGGTTTTGCTAACTAAGGAACGCCGGGACCACTTACTGCCTGCCGAGAGACTGGCGACACATACAGTAAGTAGCGAAACAGAGCGGGAAGAGCGGGGCTCTTTTTGTGAGCCAAGATTGGAATCGAAACGACCCGCAAATAACCACGCATGCATTCAACCACCGACTGGCTGCGAGCCAAGAACTATGACACGTCACCCAAGTTGGGTCACCCATCATCGTTGGAGGGGAGGGAAGCCATAAATATCGCCTGTTCCGTCGAGTCTGGCGTTCGACGTGCTTCCAGCTACGCGGCAAAGACTTCCCCGTCGTGCCGCCAACACCACGTGGCAGAAGCACGGGAGCGTGCTACGTTAACGGGAGTGCACTCCCTCAAGACTTGACCCCCGCCGGGCAGAACACAGCGTCAAGTGTATCCGATCGCAGCCACGAAGCAAGACCTACTCTGTCAAGAACGACCAACGACCAACGTTGCAACATCGTGGGGTGGGGTGGGGTAAAGCCTGCATCGTACCTGCAACGAGAGGAACTCCTCGTCTTGGTTGAAGGCGTAGGGGAGGAAGCGCCTGAGGAAGGCGCTGTAGCACAAAGAGATGTCCGAAGTCGGCAGCTCGGGATCAGAGAGGGCGACGAACGGCGCCAGAACCTCGTGCATGCCCTGCGCAAAAAAAAACAAAAACAAGTACTTGTAGATGGTACAGCATGTATGCCTATGTACTACCACATCCAAAATACATCCATCCATCAAGTAGGAAAAGCAGTGGAGTTGTTGCGGGCTATGTGTTGTTTTAAATCTTGGCTTCTTGATTGGAGACCAGGCAGGCGTGTATCAACCAGAAACCGGCATATGTGCAAGGCAGATATCGTTGCACATTCGACCATGAATCTTACGAGACCTCCCAAGAGGAAAGTACAAGTTGTACTTGTACTACCAGACAGCATGCGGGCAACTCTCCCGGCGGCAGGTACTTGTATGCATCGCAATGAAAGTTGAAAGTATTCATAGCTGCTCACCTATTTATGTGGAAAACGTAGCAGATGGCATGTGGGCAAACCCGGCAGGTAATAGCAATGAGTTCTGCATGTTCAGGGCTGCTCACCTGCTTATACCCCAAGCCGTGCGTCTTGCAGTGGTACGTGAGGATCCTCGCCAGCAGGTTCTTCACCCTCGGTCTCTTGAACTGGTCCAGTGCGGGCCTCGTTCTCTCGACGTCAACCCGCACTACCCGTTGATTCTCCAGGTCGAGATCTGTCGACAAAATCGCGGCGTCGAGCGCAGTAACATCGCCCTCCGCGTCTTTGCCTCCTCCTGCTTCGACTCTACCGAGGATGAGCAACCTCCAGACGTCCTTGCGCAGAAACGCAGGGATGAAGGCGGCCTTGCGGAGCAGCTGCCTCATGGCGTGCGGGTCGGATCGATGCAGCTGTTGCACTATCAGGTTGGCCCACCACTGCTGCTGCGCCTCCTCTCCTCCCGCTGCTGTTGATATTGCTGCTGCTGCTGCTGCCGCTGCTGGTGCCACTCGCCCTTGCCCGTCGTCGTACTCGTTGCCGGAATCCTCGTTTTCGGTCTCCACCTCTGTCTCCACCTCCGACAAGCTTGGGACGATGACCGGGAAGGAGCTGGGAGGTTGCGGGAGCAGGGCTTGTTGCCAAAGCGGAGCAGCATTATCCTGGGAAGCCGTCGTCGTTGTTGTGGAACATTCTGGCCCGACGTCGCCGTCGTCGACCAGGAAAGGGTTTTCCTCTTCTTCTTCCAAACCTGTACCTGAATCCGCGTCGCTGTCCCCATAGAGTACGTGTGAGCTAGTACCTTCCGTTGCTCTCGTATTCATACCTCTACCCCCCCCCGGTGAGTCTTCTCTGCCCGTTGCACTGCTGTGCTATCTTCTCCTGTGCTGTGTCCTGCTGCCTGGTTCGAGCCAGCTCTCACCTTCGAGGGGCTACGTGGTTTCTATACTCACCTATAGTACTAGTACCTGCATATTTTTTCTTTCTGCCAGTTTGACGGCCCCCCTCGCCAAGCGTTTCGGCGACCAAGCTCCTCTTCTGCAACCTCTCTCGGCGCCAGCTGGAGATTCTCTTGACAACAACACCAAACACACAGGCAAGTGGGTCGCTGCGGAAGACCGAGGTGGCCGGAGTGCGTATATTGCGTTCCTGCTGCTGTGAATCTTTTTGTCGACGGGCATCTCTTGGAACTGGAAGAGCCATTTTATCGTGTGATGATGCGTTTTCTCAGTTTTTGCGCCGTCAAGTTGCTGCTGAACAACCCGACAGCCCGAACTTCACGCCCGCGCCAGCTGGTAGCTGCAAGACGCCATAGCTGTTGTCTGTTCGGTTATGAAAGATAGGTTCACAGCGCCTGCGCCGAGTGCAAGCTGCTCTTTGATCGCGCCGTGTCTGATAGTAGTGTGGTCATGTAAATCTCGGCGTTCCCCGTCTCAGAGGGTCGGGGTCCCAGACAACACAGCATAAGGCACACACAACGCTCAGGATGTGCACGGGCAGCGCGGAAGTGGTTGGCACGAATGCTACCCTCCCCTGCGATCGCTTCTATGGCACTATGCGCATGGCAGTACAGTAGTAATGGAAGCCCTTGTTTGTTCAAAATTTTGTTTGCAACACGTAAGCAGTGTAACGGCGGGTGTGCGGCCAAGGGAACCATTTTTTTTTGGGAGCATACCGGCACTTGAGCGGAGGGGTCCCGTTCCTACCGCGTTCTGAAGCATTGAAACTGCAGCGCACTTGCTGGACTGTACCGCTGCACCCCGACCTCGCCCCGTACAACAACCCGGACCACAGCTGCACCCTCAATCGCTATGACAAACCACCTCATCCCGTGTCTGCCTCTCCTTGCTTTGTTTTCCCTCCCCCGGCAGCCAGATTTGCTACATACCACCATGATGCCCTCGATGATCAACCTCTTGGTGTTGTTGGCGGCGGTGCTTCACATGATGGGGGCGGCAGCAGAAGACTTCGAGGTTAGCACCGGAGTGGGCTCGATCCGGGCGCAGGACCGCGACCCCTTCAAGGAGGGCTACTTCAACATGATCATCTCCTGCTTCGCCCTCATGTTCTTTTTCATCGGTTGCATGTTCAGCGTCCGCATCTGCTTGGGCAAGAAGCGTGGGAACGACTCCCACTCGTTCTTCTTGGTCGCTTAAATAAAAAAAATTAAGCAGCCAATTATCATCATAAGTCAGTCCAGTTTGTGTGTAGGCTCATTTTTCGTATGTAGATTTGTTCTAGTCGACTTTTTGATGACGCCAGGACGGGGCGGCATGGGGAAAGGGGGTACGAGAAGACGAGTCTATCGGTGGACGGCGCGATTGGGAGGGGCGGAGAAGGCGCCGAGCGGTGGCCGCTGGGGCCGTTTTTACAAACGCCCGGCCCGGTTTTTTAGGTATGGCGACGGCAGTTGCAGCGCTGCATCTGATACGAAGTCTTGTTTATAGCGTAGTAGTTGGAGAAGGAGGGAGCAGAGAGAGAGAGAGGGTGAAAACGGAACGGTAGCACAACTATTTCCTCCTCGCACGACCAGTGCGATTGTTGACAGCATTTAGTTGGGGCATTCCTGTTTCTTGTGCGATGATCATGTCGTTGCGTCTTCGCGGGGACTGCGCGCTTACCAATCGTACCGCCTTGTTGTACGAGCGTTTGGAGGACCCCGCCGAGAGTGTAGACCGCGCGACAAGCCAGTGTTTGTTTCAGCACGAGTGCAGCTCTCACGCGTAGAATTTAAGCATCACCCTGTTGCGCGCTGAACGCGCAGAATGAACGCTTGGGTTAAAACCACAACGGTGAGAGCGGCTCAAGGCAATCTGATTTCCGTTCGTCGCTTGTGTGGGAGGCGTTTTGCCTGATTGTCGCCGCCAGCCAGCTCGCCCTACCCTCCGCCTTGACTGGAAACGGGGCGATGCTCTGTGTTCGGTGTTTCGCAAGTTTTCGCTGCCTCTTTCCAGCGAATGTGTGTAGGGATGTATTGCTGGCCATTCCCCAAGTGAGCGACGAGGGTCGTGAGCACGGCGTCGATCGGATTTGACATAGCAAACTCACGCTTCGCCAACATTTTAGCGAGCGTGCTTTCAGTCTTCCATGGAGTGGTGCATCGCGCACTGCGGCGGTAAAAAAATCACGCTGATGAAAGTGGGTGGACAACATATCACTTGCCCCCGCGTCCCAAAATAGTAAAGTCCCGCGGCACCTCCGAAAGCTACGCACGTATATGTATGTGCATAGCGGGAAGGTTCCTCGTTGTTGGTCAGGCAGGACATCGAGAGTTTTGGCTCACAATTGCCTCGCACAGCATTTGTGTCGTGCTGTCACAACACCCTGTGGATTAAGCGCCGGCATGCACGCCTACCCACACACGACCCGGAACGCGAGCCAACGTCGCCTTCGTCTCAAAAAAAGCGCCGACCTTTACGCCAGATGAACATATCACACGCGGGGCTCCAAAAAACAGCGAGGCATCTCTGTCGACGGTCCCGCCACGCAGTGCCAACGCTTGAACTTTATCATCATTCAACCCTGTCCGCGAATCAATTGAAAGGGAGGCGGTAACTGCGCGCCTCCGCCCCCTCCCGGCTGAGGTGCATGTAAGGGTGCTTCTCATACACCAAGCTGATCTTCCCGACCCTCACGGTGGTCGGCTCCCAACGCGCGCCCAGATCCGCCAACCCCTCCCCCAGCCGACCCTCATCGGAGACCTCAGATGCGACGCGCATGACGGTTGAGTGGATGATATTGGGTATGTGTACCCCGTCCCCAAGAGAGAAGAGATCGGGGTGGGCGCCCTCGTACTTGTTTTCCAACTCGGCGCTCAGCTCGCTCAACTGTTAAAAGAGGCACAGGATGCAGGGGCGCACGCCGTGGGGGAGAGTGGGTAGCGGGAAGGGGTTTCAACAAAGAGGCAAACCTCGTCGCCAGTTGCCGACAAGTAGTGTCCTGGCGAGTTTCGAGGGGAGGACTCTGATTGGTTCGTTGTTTCATCGCGACGTTTCAAGAGCAACACACAGCACGCACACTGGGGGGGGGGGGGGGGGGGGGGTTTCCAAAGCCGGGCTGGCCGAATCCTTTTGCCCTTTGCCCCCCCCCCCCTCCAAACCCGGGGGGGGGCCGCCCGGGTTTCCCCCGGACAGGGG